GAAAGGTAAAAAAAAAGTCTTCAAAAGTTCTTCAGTTTTTCAGAGGTACTCTATAGATTGTTTCATAAATGTATAATTTATGTTTTTCATATATACCTACATTTTTTTAATTATACCCCATTTTACTTATTACTTATTTTATTACTTTAAGTTTAGTTATAGATGTTATTAATATTTCAGCTATATTTTTAATTTACTGAAACTTTCAACTTTAGGTAGTCTAGTATTGCTCTGTCAGTAATATACTAGGTATTACATGAATGGTACTTGGTAATTATCTTTAGTGATTAGAAATACAAGAGAGAAATAGTAGATATGTAAAATTTAAAGTTGAACATTTATGAAATCAAACGTTTATTAAGGAATATTAATTTATTATAGACACCTCATAATCCTTCTAGTATACAGGCAGTTTCGATCTAATATTTGAAAATTCATTTTAAGATGCTGTTTTTAACGTAGTCTTTAACAAAGTTATTTTGTTTTCTACCTATTTATGTAGTTGAATAAATACATGGTTGTAGAAAAGTTAAGCAGGTTCCAAACGTCAGGTTTTGCAAATTCACTTGACAATTATATCAAAATTTCACATAATTTATAAGTATTACATTAGTTTTTCAATTATTATAATATAATTTTAACCACCTCATTATATTTCAGAGTTTTTCAGTTTAATTCAGGTATTTCGCCAGTATTTCAGGAACTTTATCTTTGTATACGCCATAATTAATAGCAAATAACCCTTCGAATAGTGTTGTAATAAATTGACACATTGTGAGTGTTAAAATAGTTGTGTAAAGTTTTGTAGAAGATGAGAACGAAGCGTTTATTAAAGTACACAGGGCTACTTTTTAATAAAAGCGTAATTTGTTTTAATTAGAAATAAAAGTAAATGTCCAGATGGGTCAAATTCTAGGCGCCAGAGTTCTATTATATAGTAGCCTTGTTAGTAGATTTCACAATACGCTGTAGATATCTCGAAAACAAACTACTAAAGCACGACATAAAATAAATATTCTCGGAAATAACATATTGTTTCGGTAAAAACATGTTTAAATAGTTTTTAACAAAAATGTCTAATAGTTAATATACAACTAGCAAATCCGATTATCTTAATCTTATATAAAATGCATACACTTTTCATATTATGCGTAAACAAAAATAAATAAAGCGGTAATATTATTTTAATTCAAAATACATAAACTAAGCTACCTAGGTATGTACTTAAATCTTTATGCGACGTTGATATATGAGTTTTACAACCCCGAATAAAGTAATCATTTAGATAAAATATATATATTATAGATATATGAGTTTTACAACACCGAAAAAAGTAATCATAACCCTTTTACCTAAAGAAAACGAATACTTTCAATATAAACTAGCCATATCTCACTACCTAAATACTGTTGGACATCCACGTGGAATGGGACAAGTAGATAGAGAGGCAAAATCTCTAGTAAGTGTAACAAGTTGCATTACGATATCTAGGTTGAAAATGTTTCAAACATTCAGTTTGGATTGTGTGGAATCTAAGCACTAGGAGCAAAATGAGCGTATCTGGACAAATTGCGTTTATCCCTCCGGGCGTAAATGATAAAGTCGGCGTTAGCGAGTTTCGGCGTAAATGAGTAGCGAATTATGCGAAATATCAAGCGGAATAAAAGAAAAATTGGATGCGTAGCGAACTATATTCAGCGTTAGATCTACTAAGGATCTGCTAAGGATCACTGCCACACAGCTAATAGGATCCAATCAATCTCCAAGATAGACAGGTTCATTTGAATTTCTAAGCAGCTGAGGATTGGTTGATATGAAGTTAGAAACATCCTATAATGGCATGCAAGGTTACAGAACAAGTACTGTGGAATAGCTAGGTATGGGAAGCTATGGATTTGGTTATGGTAGATTGAGACCTGTATTAGGATAGGAAAAAGAAGGAGTAGGGTTAGTTCTACCCGGTACTCTCTTTTTTAAGGTATACGTTAGTATGATAGCAGGAAAAGGCGTATGAGTTTACCACCTGGGCGCTTTGTGAGTAGGGCGGACAAGACTTGCGAATAGGGATGGGTCCCGGTATTCGGTCTGGTTAGTTCGACCCGGATTGCTCTCTTTTCCAGTGGCTGGAAAAGGCGTGGGCCCATAGTTAGATTTAGATTTTACAATTTAGATTTATATTTTAGAATTTAGGTTTAAGATTTTAGAGTTGAGATTTAACTTTATTTTGTTGCACGCAGGCTGCAGATTGCGTGTAACCTAAGCGTGTAACACCAATATATAATAAGTAATTCCTTTATTTTACCTTTTGAAATTTTCTTTTGTCCCTGAAGAATTTATTTGTCCATCATGAGTTTTTGAGTATTGTTTCTGAGTGAGTTACGATATTTTATTTTTATTTATTTAAGTAGCAAATAAGACGTAGCTCCATTATGAGCAGTGAACAATCTAACTATATTTTTATTTCAGCTTTTAAAAATGTCCTTTAAATGACTCTGATTATGTTTCTCCTTTTAGTGTGTTGTAATAATGGTAACAATTAGCTGATAAAGTTTTGTCAATTGGTTTTGTATCAATTGTCTAGTATCAGCAGCAAACAATCTAACATATATTTTATTCCAGCATTTAAAAATGTCCTTTAAACGATTCTGATTATGTTTCTCCTTTTAGTGTGCTGTAATAATGGTAACAATTAGCTGATAAGGTTTTGTCAATTGGTTTTGTATCAATTGTCTAGTATCAGCAACAAACAATCTAACATAATATATTTTTATTTCAGCATTTAAAAATGTCCTTTAAACGAACGATTCTGATTTTTGTCCTTTTAGTGTGATGTAACAATGGTAGCAATTAGCTGATAAAGATATGGCTCAGCAGCAAAAAAAAAACTAATAAATATTTTTATTTCAGCCTTTAAAAATGCCATTTAAAAGGTTCTGATTATTTATGTCCCTTTAGTGTGATTCAGAGGAGTGAGGACACTCAAAAGTCAGGAATGGCCGAATGTTATCGACGCCTATGATCCTTATGATAGGCAGTCATTTTCACGCCGTGCCTGCACTCCGTGTCCGCTGATGTTTGCGAGTAGCGGAGTAGTAGGCTTTGGAAACAGTCGAATGTCAGAGTTTGTTGATTTCGGCCGAGAGAAGACATTGTTTGTCAAGCTAGTTAGAATTACATTTTAAATATCAATTTTTCTTAAATATATTAATCTCCCGATTACAATATTATGTTTCTTTTATCGAGATTTACCAGCCCTGAAAATATTTGCACTTATTTAAGACTCATCCTGTATAGAAATCCGGGAGCTACCCTAATGCAAGGTAAACCAATGCAATGCAAATACCATAATGCAATGCAAAAGCAAATATTATTAATAAATAATGAACTAACTGAAATATAATAAATAATACCTATAGGGGGGGTATAATAATAACCTATAAAGGGGGCCCGCGACTACTTACTTACTTGTACAAGAATTTCTTATACCTAAATAATACCTAAATACCTAATCAGTTTTATTTTTTTCAACGTTTTTTCACGTAAATGATGCATAATTTTTATAAAAATTAAAAAAATAAAGAGTAAAGTAATAAAAATTTAATAAAATCACGCACTGTTTTCTAAGCTCGGTCTACTACCGTTGTATAAAAATTAGGATAAGCATGGAAGGATTCTACCATATCTTCTAAGAATTATAAGTTTAATTTTTAAATTATTTTCATATTCATTAAGTCCAAAATGCTGCTACTTCAGTTCTTTAAAAATGCATTAAAAATTTATTCGCTTTTGAACTTGTATGTTTTACTTCTAGACCGACGATATTATAAATATATGGTTATGAATATCATATTTTTTAAATTTAATTGATTATCTGTTTGGGTAATATTCAATTCCATTTTCAAAATTTCAAACAATGAAGGTTGCTATCTCCAGAAGTATATTTTTATTTCTTAGTTCTGCAAGACGAATATCTGCTATTGTGTCCCTATTGTGTCTGAAAAAAATGATGTAACACGAAATATTGAGTTATATTGTTCCCCAGCAAATAAAATTCTTATCTCTTTATCATATTAACGCATGAACATTCTTCCTACATGTGTACATATTTTTTGTACTGGTTTTTTGCTCTCCTATAAAATTAGGAATAATGGAGTTAGCAGTTTATCACATTTCACCGACGAATATACACTTTTGATACCAGTAACTTATTTTACGCGGTTCACTTATCACTGCGCTGTTTTATTAATGCCATAGGAAAAGTTTATATGTATGTAACTCAATTCTAAAAAAGAAATCAACGAGTTATCGAGTTGTATCATACGATGGAGAAACGGCAACATATTGCTCACATTTGGCCGGAAACTGCCACACATGCGCAGGTGCTTGATCAAATTAAAGAAATTGCTTATTTAGTAAATTCGTTGCCTGGAAATGGATTTAAGTGATTTGCATCAGAAATATGTAAAATACCCACTTGAATCAGATAATGTTGAAATCACCGAAGAAGAATTAAAATTATTAGAAGTGAAACTGAAGATCTATATGAAGATTTAGTTCTGGCCCGCAGATAACTCTTCATAAATGTCATACCATAGCACATGATCTATGAAAATTAGAAAATTGAAGAAAGAACATTCATATTTACTTATCATTGTAGTAATGCTCTTAGAATTAATTATAACTTATTATTAGAATTAACATAACCTCCGTCTAAAACGAAGGATACCTGTATATTTTCAAAAGTAGTTTTAAAGATAAGTATATAGTAGTTATTATGTAGTAATTATAATTTATCATTAAGATTACTTAATAAACATAACTGTTAAATAAATAAAAGCGAAAAATATGCTGTGCAAATTCTTGTTATTTTTTGTTGTAAACGATGAGAAATGGTATTTATCAATCAATGAAATTGTGTTATATTTGGATAATATAAATATAAAAAGTAAAATTACATTCATACAACATAATTGTTAACATAATACACACATAATTGTTACCTGTATAATTTGAATTAGAGTTGTAGCAAACTGCAGAGAGGTAATACAATAATCCAGAAGAAATATGGTTTTAAAACAAGCGTTAAAGTCCTTTACCCATCTAAAAATATAGTTAATACGATTTTATCTTATTAATACTATCCCAAGTAGCATTTTTAGACACAAAAATGAAACAAAATATCTGCTGAGAAACATTACAAAACAGTTTCGTCACATTTTTGATACATATCTTTCGTTTGGAATATAAATCGCTTTTTGTTTCGAAACATTTTACCAAAATATGGTTTCGCTACACAAGCTATAACAATAAAGACTTTAATGTCACAAACTTTTAAGAAACAGATGTGGATTACATTTACAAAGATTTCGTACCCGTTTTGTGCCTGAAACGTTTCCATAACTTATTTCATATTCTGTGAAATATGAGAACATAACTTTACTTTATTATTTGGATTTTGTTCTGCAGTTTTTGCATTTAAGCATTCTTCAAGTTTTTATAGTACTGTTGCGGACCGGTGTGGACCTAACCTAACAATATGGCCCGCCCTCGGGTGACCTTAACAACGCATAGACACCGTAATGATTCATTCGAAGATTCGAGAAGTATCCAGTTCTACTGGAATGGAGTAGTACATACGAGAACAATCGAAACCTTCTCTATGCACCTAACGATCTATGGACTATTCTAGTGTTCTTTACCTGTCGGTATAAAAGCAGACGCCGGTGCCTAAGAGAGACAGAGATAAATAACCGATCGACGCGTACAGTTACAATCGCCGCGCTAATTCAAAATAAATTTCTGTTAGATAAATAATTAGATAAATTGTAAATAAGTTATAAATAGTTCTTTAAGTTTTTTAATTGGTATTGTTTTTGTTAATTAGTGTTAAATAAATAGTGTTTAAATAAATTGTGACTTTCTATCCACACGGAACCGACGAGAAAAACGCAAAGGTGCGTATTCATTATCCGCACGAACGAACGAACGAACGAATGTTCGCTAGTGGTATGGACGGGGACCGCACGATAGAACCACACGAGAAGACCGCACGCATTTCTTCATTCGCGCGCCAGTTCAAATCGTCAAGATATTGTTATAAACCTGTTTTTTTGTTTATATACCGTCATTGAATTATCGCTAAGCAAGTTACTGTGAAGCAGTGCGTAAGGAGTCGGGCTAGGAAGCGAGAGACCGGAGTTCGAATCTCGGCCGGGACATAACGTTTTATTTATTTTTTTAAATACTGTTGTATTCTATAGTTTATTTTTGTAGTATAAAAAAAAGAACTATTTATTCTGTTATTTTTTAATCTCCGGTATTAATATAAATTGATTGTTGGTACAATACCTCATTTAATATAAAATAATAGGTATTCTACTTTTTGTAATGTATCGGGCCCTAATTGTACCTAAAAGTAATATATTTTTAATGATATACCAAATTGTAAACTATTTAATATTTCAGTTACTTAAAAAGTTAATTTGCATTGAATAATTGCCTACCATTAAAGGAAATTTGAGCTATATAATCCTTGATGGGCATATTCTGGGTATGCACATACTTCCTCTAAATTTTGGGTTTTGTTCAACCGATTTATTCTCAAAACCTGAAACATCTACATATAAAAAGAAGCACAGGTAACTTATTATAATAAACTTCACCCTTGGAATTACTTCCACTAATCATAATAAACTTCACCCTTGGAATTACTTCTATCACAATTACAATACATTCATCTGCATTGGCATTTCTACTTTTCGATGGGAAACAATAAACTTCCCAATATTTTTTAAATGATGTAACAATTCCTCTTGTGGTTACTTTTCCATAGATATCCTCAACTCTGTCCTCATGTGAATTCAGAGGCAATAAAAATGAAAATTATTTACCATAAACATCGCAAACTAAAAACCGAATAAACAATTTTATACCGAATATAGAAATAAATTTAGTATTTTTACCTATTATCGTCCAAATCCATGTTAATATATAATTATTATTCTTAAATATATTTTTGGAACTGCTGGTTTTAGTAATTATTAAATTAAACGAACTAAAAAGTCTTAAAAATAAAAAATTCTTAACCATAACCTCAAAAATGCAGATCTCCTGTCAACTTTCTTTATTTTTTATTTATTCCTCATTTTCCTAGTGACGTCACAGGTGGTATGCGCGAACTGAACGAAATTGGAGCCGCTATCGATCATACCGTGTATTCTTTGTACCATGACGTCTAAACGCCTTTGATGTACCGACTCGAAGCGGATGGTCGAGCGCACGAACGAACGAACGGCCGCATGCGTTCGGTCCCCGTCTAAATATACCGCACTTTCATTCGTTCGTTCGTTCGGATAATGAATACGCACCTTAAATCTGAAAGCGCACGCAGGCGAACGCCTTTGATGTACCGACTCGAAGCGGATGGTCGAGCGCAAGACCGAACGAACGGCCGCATGCGTTCGGTCCCCGTCTAAAGGTGCGTATTCATTATCCGAACGAACGAACGAACGAACGAACGAATGAAAGTGCGGTATATTTAGACGGGGACCGAACGCATGCGGCCGTTCGTTCGGTCGTGCGCTCGACCATCCGCTTCGAGTCGGTACATCAAAGGCGTTCGCCTGCGTGCGCTTTCAGATTTAAGGTGCGTATTCATTATCCGAACGAACGAACGAACGAACGAATGAAAGTGCGGTATATTTAGACGGGGACCGAACGCATGCGGCCGTTCGTTCGTTCGTGCGCTCGACCATCCGCTTCGAGTCGGTACATCAAAGGCGTTTAGACGTCATGGTACAAAGAATACACGGTATGATCGATAGCGGCTCCAATTTCGTTCAGTTCGCGCATACCACCTGTGACGTCACTAGGAAAATGAGGAATAAATAAAAAATAAAGAAAGTTGACAGGAGATCTGCATTTTTGAGGTTATGGTTAAGAATTTTTTATTTTTAAGACTTTTTAGTTCGTTTAATTTAATAATTACTAAAACCAGCAGTTCCAAAAATATATTTAAGAATAATAATTATATATTAACATGGATTTGGACGATAATAGGTAAAAATACTAAATTTATTTCTATATTCGGTATAAAATTGTTTATTCGGTTTTTAGTTTGCGATGTTATGGTAAATAATTTTCATTTTCATTGCCTCTGAATTCACATGAGGACAGAGTTGAGGATATCTATGGAAAAGTAACCACAAGAGGAATTGTTACATCATTTAAAAAATATTGGGAAGTTTATTGTTTCCCATCGAAAAGTAGAAAATGCCAATGCAGATGAATGTATTGTAATTGTGATAGAAGTAATTCCAAGGGTGAAGTTTATTATGATTAGTGGAAGTAATTCCAAGGGTGAAGTTTATTATAATAAGTTACCTGTGCTTCTTTTTATATGTAGATGTTTCAGGTTTTGAGAATAAATCGGTTGAACAAAACCCAAAATTTAGAGGAAGTATGTGCATACCCAGAATATGCCCATCAAGGATTATATAGCTCAAATTTCCTTTAATGGTAGGCAATTATTCAATGCAAATTAACTTTTTAAGTAACTGAAATATTAAATAGTTTACAATTTGGTATATCATTAAAAATATATTACTTTTAGGTACAATTAGGGCCCGATACATTACAAAAAGTAGAATACCTATTATTTTATATTAAATGAGGTATTGTACCAACAATCAATTTATATTAATACCGGAGATTAAAAAATAACAGAATAAATAGTTCTTTTTTTTATACTACAAAAATAAACTATAGAATACAACAGTATTTAAAAAAATAAATAAAACGTTATGTCCCGGCCGAGATTCGAACTCCGGTCTCTCGCTTCCTAGCCCGACTCCTTACGCACTGCTTCACAGTAACTTGCTTAGCGATAATTCAATGACGGTATATAAACAAAAAAACAGGTTTATAACAATATCTTGACGATTTGAACTGGCGCGCGAATGAAGAAATGCGTGCGGTCTTCTCGTGCGGTTCTATCGTGCGGTCCCCGTCCATACCACTAGCGAACATTCGTTCGTTCGTTCGTTCGTTCGTGCGGATAATGAATACGCACCTTAAATATACCGCACTTTAATTCGTTCGTTCGTTCGTTCGTTCGTTCGTTCGGATAATGAATACGCACCTTAACAGTACTATGATTAAAAAATCAGAAGGAAGAATATATGGTGAGTACACACACAGATATTTTGCTTATGCGATTTTATAATAATTTATTATACGCATTAGAGAGATGATTTGTTTTAGGAATAAATGTGCTAACAGCCACTATTCATACCCAACAGGAGTCCGAAGAAAAAGGTTACCAGCAAACGTTTTTTCTCTTTTCTTCCACAATGGAATACATGTTCTTATGTTTTAATATGATAAGTAAATAAAAATGTTTTATATATTTTGACCAGATGATTTGATTGGCGCTGTTGACAGGTGACTAGTTCGCAATTTCTACACAGAAAGCGCTAAATCGAAACATTTTGGAAACAAGGTTTGTATTTATTGTCGATTTTTCGAAAGGCGAGTTTCTCTCTTTTTAGACACAAATATGATATAATATAGATGATTTTTGTCCAATTCCACGTCAATTTGAGAAAATAATGAACTAAAATTCCGCCATGTTGGCAGTGATAGCTTTTTTGACTAAAAATAAATGTTTTTATCGGCTGTTGAGCTCATAAATTCATAAGAACGGGTTCTACTTATTTTAATTTATAAATTGTTATTTTTAGAACCATGATATAGAAATAAAAATAAAAATCTATATTTCAAACAAAAATATATTGTAGCTACAAAAAATAATGATATATAGGAGGAGCATTAAAATGAAAAAATATGAAAGTATATTATTAAATTAAACGATGACTTTGCTTTTGCCAAACATTTTTTGTGCGAGAGAACCTAAAAATTAAGATCTTAAGACAAAAAAAAATATGGCGGAGGTCGACATTGTTGATGCTAGTTTTCATTTTGAAATCCACACGCAGACTATTTTAGTTTGGTATTTTGTTTCTTCACATTTAGAAACAGTGGCTGCTGAAAACGGAAACATCTTAGACACAAATTGCAGAAAATGTTTCGAAACGTGTCCTCCAAAACTATTCAATTTTGCATCGAAACATTTCAGGAAAGGGCTAGTGCCACCACATTGGAAACACATGTAATAAAGCCATATATAATATATAGGTTTGGAAAATGTTTCGTATTTGTGGCATACCGTTTCCATTTTGTGTCAAGAAACAGAGATAGAATTAATAGAAACATTACCTAAAATGTGTCCAAAAATTCTACTTGGCAAGTAGTATTTTTGGACACATTTTGGGTATGGGCTTGCATTAATGAAAATAAGCCGAGACGAATATTTTTCACTATAAATAAATACAGGGTCGCTGTTATGTATGGAAACGGTCGATTATTAGGTCAAATATAGGAGGTACCACAAAAAGCTAAGTAAAAAAGTTATAGGATTTTTAAATATCTATTAGCGGGTAATAAATTTAAGTATACAGGGTCGGTCATAAAGTCGTGGCACATCAAAGTTTCATTTTTTTTAAATGGAACCCCCTGCATATTATTGCATATTTCGGTTCTTCCTTTAATTCGAAGCAAAAATTGAAATACACACAATGTACCTCAAACCAACCATTTTCGAGTTATTGACTTTTGAAAATATCACTTAAACAATTTGATTTAATTAATTTAGATATGTTCAGTTTAATTTAACGATGTCATTCTGCCGAAACTGTGATACTTAAAAATATTTGACATTAGTTCTCAAGTTATCATTTATAGATGTATAAAATGAGAGTATATCAAGTCTGGAAATTACAAAATTTTCGTTTAACATTTCATTTCTTTAATTTTTGTACATTGTTAATTATGTCAATTATTAAAATTGAAGGAAGAATTGAAATATGTAATAATATACTGGGAGTTTCATTAAAAAAAAGTTTGATGTGACACAACTTTATGACCGACCCTATATACTTAAATTTACTAGTAGCCTTGTATATGAATTTTTAAAGTAGCTCAACCTAAGACGTTTATGGATGTAAAGCACCAGATGGCGGGGCGTATTTCACAGTCTTTTACTACAGAAAAATATTTTTTGTTACTCTGAATTTTGAAGCGACCAATAAAAATAGAGAAAATAAAAATCGATAATTTTCGGACCGTGCGAATTGGTTACTAATCGACCAGATAATTTTTGTCTATTAGATATGATATAAAAGCTGGTAATTATACAATTCGACCATTGTAAATACCCGACAAATTCCGCAAGGCCGACGAGGCCGATGCTTTTCACTGATAAGAAAAAAAAATGTTTGTTTAGATAATTTTCGAGATATTTTTTCTTCTGAATGCACATTTTTAAAGTAGTTTGTATTCTTTGTCTGCTGGATCTATTATACTGGTCGCACGTATCGAAGTTCTGTTTCTTCTACTTTTAAAAAATGTTCTTATTTCTTTAGAGTTGTTGTGGTTGTAGTGTAAAATTAGATTAATTTTATTAAGTTTAATTATAATGTTTAGTGTAGAATACCAGAAATAGTTTAGTAGTGTTTTTATAGTTTATTTATTTTGTAGTTAAGTAGTAGGTGAAGGGATAATTTGGTTATTTTTTCTTTTTGTTTGGTTAATTAGTAAGTTTATAATTTTTTCAGTGTAAAATACAAAAAGTAGTTGTGTAGAGTTTTTATAAGAGATTATGTATATATTCGTTTATTTTGTAGATGAGTAGTAGGTGAAGGTATTTGGGTATTTTTTCTTTTTGTTTTTCTTCTAATTGTAGTAATTCTATTAAGTATTGTGATAGATACGCTATATATATTCCTTCAACTTCGTTGAAAAGTGCGTTATCATATAATTTTGGTTTTCTGGTAGTAAAATATACGAAAAAAAAAATCTGATCAAATTTATTTTAAATTAAATTAATCGAGTCTTATTAATCAAATTAATCTAGTCAAATAAAAATAATAGTTAGTTTCTAAATACTATACAGGATGAGTTTCCTACGATGTTCTCTATTGGTATCTCGGAAAATACTGGAGATAGAGAGTCGGTTAAATGGGGAAAGAATTACAGTTTTGTGAGGTCATAAATAAATATGCGCCTTTCGGATTTTTCGGAGAAGTTCAAGGCTTACTAGATATTTCGAAAAACACAAATTTTGGCTATTTTAAAACTTGTCGCTAATTCCATTATAATCTACCGTATGATCGAATAAAAACGGCGTCAACGATGGCTATGAAATGAAGATCGTTGTCATTCTATATGTAAAATTATATGGGAAATATCATCGATCGTCATTTCATAGCCATCGCTGACGCTGTTTTTATTCGATCATATGGTATTTTAGACAAAAAGTTTTCAGATAAAAGTTGTAGATAATCACATACCTAATGAGTTTGTGTTTTCTGTTTTTTTTTTCTAAAGCCTGTCATTTTTGACATACGACACAAACATTATGTTTTTTTTAAATGGAAATCCTAGTTGGCCATGACTTCATAAAAAGCGCCATTCTTTAATCTTTTCAGCGATATAGGTATAATATGTTTTCTTTCGAAGAATTAGAAGTTATAGCCAATTCTTTTCTTTCTTGGCTAATTCCCATACCAATAATACCATGCCAACTAGTTGGCATCAAAAATGTAAAAAGTTTTATGTTTTCAAAAAAAATATCGTAAAATTCGTAAGCACTCAATTTAGAATAAAATAATCTAAGAATGAAATGATTCTTTTATAAACCTGCATTAAATTAAATTAAAATAGGTATGTAACTTTTTTTTTTAAATATTAATTAACAACAATTAGCATTATCATAAATTATAAATAATGTACCAACATATCGAAATAATTATTTCTTTGTTAATACGGTTTAGAATTCTTAAAATAGCAGGCAAAAATTATCCACAATTTACAATAAAATAAAAGTTTCGTTTAAATTTCTTAATCAGCTGATCATTATTAAAGTTCGCCGAAACCCGGGCTATATTATTACATTACTCTGAGGAAAATAATGAAAATAATCGATATTTTTGACTCCGCCCCGAAAGGTTCACGATTTGTCCTCCAGCTGGCAGCACATTTTGTCTAGTCGGTTGAACAACTTTAAGAATATATAAAAAATATAAACCCATTACAACAATATCACAGTTTCGGCCGAATGGCATCATTAAATCAAACCAAATACATCGAAATTAATTATATTGAATTGTTTAAGAGATATATTGTTCAAAAGTCAATAACTCGGAAACGGTTGCTTTGAGGTACATTGTGTGTATTTCGACTTTTGCTTAGAATTGAAGTAGGAATTGATATATGTAATAATATACAGGGAGTTCTATTTAAAAAAATAAAACTTTGTTGTGCCATGACTTTATGAACGGCCCTGTATATTTAACTTTATTACACGCTAATAGATATTTAAAAATCCTATAACTTTTGTATTTAACTTTTTGCGGTACCTCCTATATTTTACCGTTTCCATACATAAAAGCGACCCTGTATATAAACTCTCTTCACTATTCGAATTTGACATACTTTGGCCTATTTCGCAAGTAGTGTTAGATGCTGGTTTAACACTCCGCTAGATATATTTTATAAATACTATTACCATGTTGTTACCTAATAATTTGCTGATGTTTAATAACCAACTCTCTTAAATTTTTCTCTGGGAAGCCTGATTTCAGAACATTGTCACTGACTGAGCTAAAAGTATCAAAATGTTCCGCTTCGTACTGCAGCATTTTTAATTCTGCCTTAACGAACACCAAGACGGAATTCATAAGCGCCTGCGTAGATCCAACCAGAAACATTGTTTGAACGATGTGGTACATCTGGTACGACATAGCTAGAAAATAGTGTTTCTCTTTGTCGAAAGGAAACCAAAAAGGTACGGCTTGAGGTTTTTCTATTGTTACATTGGCTGATATTGTCTTTTTCCATTTGTAAATTTGATGAAATCCTGAAAAAAATTGACTGTAAATGCAGAATTTATAAAATACCATATGCTAGAAAACAAACGACATCAAAGAGGGATAGGGTATGACAATCGATAATAATTATTACGAGGTCAATCTCTAAACGTCATTTACTAAGATTTGAAAAAAAAAATAGCACTAATTATGAAAAGGTTAAAAAAGGATAGAACGTTTCCAGACACACAAATCTATTTCGATTTTTTTTTCTTTTTCTTTGACTTGATTTTTTTTTTCTCTTTCCTTACTTTCCTTCCTCTTACTGTAATTTGTTTATTGTCTGTAATTTTAATTCCAAAATAGTTAATTTTATTTTACAAAGAAATAAGTTGGTTCTATTGGAACGCATAACAGAAAATTCTTAGACCAGTAAAGAGAGATGACGCGTAATACCAATAGAAATTCTGTGATGGGCAAATCGCTTGGCTTCAAGGCAAAATGCTTCTACAGAAGGCCAATATCAACCACTACAGCATCACTTTCCTTTGGCTTCCGAGCCACATAGGAATTCCTGGCAATGACAGCGCTGATTACTTGGCTGCAAAAACTCCCAACCCTCATAAAACCAACCTCGTTTTCTCCGTGCAAGATCTAAAGAATTATGGCAAACATATGATCGATAATATAATCCAACTAGAATGGGACTTGATTAGGAAGAGATTTTGTTGTGCTCACTAGAATTCGTTTAGGACACACGAAACTTACCCATGAACACCTCCTTAAAGGACAGAACCAGCCCATATGTGTGAGACATGTAATCTTCCAATATCCGTCAAACACATTATCTTTGAATGCCCAAAGTACGCGTTAAAACGAAGACAACACGGTATCGTGGATAACCCAGGGGTAGCCCTTTCCTTCCAAAATAACAAGGCTATGTTGGATTATAATAAAGGACATCGACATATATAAACATATATAAATATTTACGGAGAACGTTTAGTTTAGACATAAATATATAAATAATGGGATAAAGTGAATCTAAAAGACTCTACAGTCGATGCGTCTTTAACACATATCTCTCTCTCCAAGGCCGTAAGTGAAAAGTGATTCCTGGTCCTTTCTCCCATTACGGCTCTAATGGTGCGTACTCACTAGAGCATTTTGCTACGAACGAGCCAAACGAGCCGAGCGCACAGAGCCGAATTCGGCAAATAAATACGTGTTCGCGAGCAAAATTTCACCGAACCGAGCGCGCCAAACATTTTCGCCGGCTTGTCGGTACATGCATTTTGCTCAAAGGGGATGCGTTGTTCAGTGGTTACGGAGGTTCGTTGCGTTCATGGTATTCGTTTTATTCATTCTGCATTCGCGGCTAGAAATTTTTATTGTTTTGCTTTTCATTCTTTTGGTATACTCATGCATGTTGACTCACCAACTAGAATAACTAAAACTGGCTCTAGTACTATAGACTATGTCGTGTCGTCTTTTGACCCGGAATTCGTTGACTGTAGAGTCCTTCACTCGGGTTTCTCTGATCATGAGGCAGTATTGACAAAGTTTTTGCTGAAATCCAAATGCAAAAATACCTCGCGCAAATTGGGCCGTATTTTTTCGGATGAAAATTTTCTAAATTTACCACCTATGTCTAACAACAGAGTGGGTTGTCCTCTCGGCTGACGTCGATTCCGAATTTTCTAGATTTATGGATACCTTGTCTAATCTGGCGTACAAGGCATTTCCTCTTAGGCCTATCAAAAGTAAACAAGGTATACCCTGGTCTACTACAGGCTTGCGTATATCTGCAAAGAACATGCGCTCATTATCTCACCTTAAGAAATTCACGGACAGCGTCTTCTTTCATAATTACGTGAAACTTTATAGAAAGGTTTATCGTAAGACTATGAAAGCTGCCAAGGACATTTATTATAATGCAAGGCTAGCCAAAGCCGGTGCTAAGAGACTTGTGCTATTGTAAATGACTTAAGGAATAAGACTTCTTCGTCTGGCACAGTCTTTAATTCCACCTGAAGATTTAAACACTTACTTTGTTAATGTGGCTAAAAATTTAGTGAACACCATAACTCCTTTCCATGATTCACTTTCATATCTCCCTAAAGCAAATGAGAATTTACACAGTCTCTTCTTCACGCCCGTAGCATTAGATGAGCTCCGTAGTACAATTAATAGTATTAAAAACAAATCCTCATCTGGAACTGATGGGCTTACTCTCAAAATGTTCTCTGAACTTCCTGAATGCACATTAAACCATCTTACTACTTTAATTAACGAGTCATTCCAAAAAGGAGTTTTTCCAAACTGTCTTAAGACAGCAATAATTATTCCTCTGTATAAAGGAGGTGATAAAGATGAAGCTTCGAACTATCGCCCAATTGCACTCCTGCCCACATTATCTAAGATCATTGAAAGATTGGTTAAAAAAAGGTTTCTATCTTTTCTCCTTAAATATAAAATACTTACTACCCATCAATTTGGATTTCTAAGTAACAGTTGCACAAATGATGCTATGTTCGACCTTTTTAATAATGTATACTCTAGCCTGAATAACCATCACTCTACAGCTACAATTTTCTGTGATTTCTCTAAGGCTTTCGATTGTGTAAATCATAATATCTTAATTAACAAATTGCAATACTATGGTTTCAGGGGAGTGCCGCTCGAATGGCTTAAGTCATATCTTGGCAACAGAAGGCAGCTTGTGAGGATTGATACGTCTATGTCTTCTTGTAAGCCTATAGAATGTGGTGTCCCTCAGGGTTCAGTACTTATTTTTGTTTCTGGTGTTTATCAACGACATTGCAAATCTGGACATTAGCGGTAAAATCTGGCTCTTTGCGGACGATACTAGTTTCACTTGGAGCGGCCCAGATGTTGCGGCGCTATATGATACTATATCCAATGACTTACGCACCATTAAGTCTTGGTGCGATTCTAATCTCCTATGCCTCAACCTATCAAAAACTAAAGTTTTGTCATATAAAAGCACTATACAACCTTTTGTACTTAATAACACTACTATTGACATCGTGGACTCTGTGAAATTCTTAGGAATTCTTGTAGACAACTCGTTAAAATGGGACTCTCACATTGAAGCTCTATCAAAGAAACTAAGCACTGCCTGTTTTGCGCTAAGATCAGTTTCTAAGGAACTTAACTTCTCAACCTCTAGAATAGCCTATTATGCCCTTTTTGAGTCACATCTTCGTTATGCCCTTCCATTCTGGGGTACTTGCTGCGCAACAAAATTTGATCGTGTTTTCATACTTCAAAAGAGAGCAGTTCGATATTTATTGGGACTGAACAGTAGAACTCACTGCCAGAATTTTTTAAAAATTTGAAAAATACTGACTCTTCCTTCTTTATTCATTTTGAATCCCTTTGCTTAATCCGCAAGCACATATCTGCTATTCCCGAAAGGCCATCTCATAACTATCCACTTAGGAATGCAGAGCACGATCTTTATCTGCCAACCCCGAGCTCCAGAACTAGTTAAGGGTTCAATACTGTATAATGCCACAAAATGTACAATCATCTGCCTTTGAATATCAAATCGCTTTCATTCTTTCCCGCATTTCGCAAGGCTCTAAAATCATACCTACTGGAGAGAGCCCTATACGCGGTAAACGACTTTTTGTTGATGTTTGATTATGAACAATTTTGAATTTTAAAATTTTGATCATCTCACACACTGGTCAAAGGTCAAGTATTTAATATTCTATAACTTTAAAATTATATCTATTTACTGCGTACTGTTCTAAAATTGGCCATGTATATTCTTTTTGTAATTTTAAAGACTTAAATTTTTTTGAATTGTATTATTTGTATTGTGTATTTTTTGTTGTTTGTATTTTTTTTGTGATTTTGTTGTTTGTGAGTGCTTTGTCGATGAAGCTGTTTTGGCTTTTTGCACAATAAAGCGTTGTTTGTTTGTTTCTTTGCTCAAACGAAATGGAGTGGGATAGACAAAAGTGCCTTCAGTTAATAAACATTTATGAACAATATCCAGTGCTTTGGAATCCAAAGGATGGATTATACAATAAAAAAGTTAAGAAGTTTGATGCGCGGAGGCAGATAGATGAGATCATGGGATGTGATTCTGGAGAAGCAAAGAAAAAAATTGAAAGTCTTCAAGCAAGGTTCAGGAGGAGGCGAAAGGAAAAAAATTATTGGAACGGGGAAAGGTACATTTACACAAATTATGACGAATATAACAATAAAGCTTGTTTTTTTTAATGGAAAGATTTGGCAAATGTCACATGATTTCTATCTATGATCTAATACTAGATCTATGATCTAATATAGTATCCATATTTCTAGTAGCCTTCCATTTTGACGGCGTAAAAACAAACTTCTTGTCCATAATTTTCTTGATGTGTTTTCTTCTTTTCCCTATTGGTAATGTTTTGTATAACAAAAAAAGCACCAGCAGCGATAATAACATCTTTCGGGTCCATTAGCACACTCGATGCAGAACGGTGACCTAGAGATTGAAAGCACGAAAAAAATTAAACAAAACTGAACGTGGGAACATAGCGAACGCAACAAGCACTCTGAAAATCGCGATCTTTTCCTTATTGAGTTCGTTCGTGCGCTCTCGGTTCGCTTGGTTCGTTCGGACCAAAATGCTCTAATGAGTACGCATCTTTACAGTTTAGGTGCCAGATATATGGCACAAAGTTTGATATTTGCCATAGATGTCGATTACGCGTCCCCTCTCTAAGAGAACATTAATATATTTAAAATTTGATTACTTCAAAATATTGTGAAAAGATTATAAAAAACTGAAAAAATCTAATCGAGTTATTTTATTAAAAAAATTGTGGTTTATATTTATTATTACATTTATCATATATAACTTTTTTACAAATAAAAAAAAATAATATTGCAAAGGAATAAATAAAAGACAACATATATAAAATAATATATTTTGTTGACACACTTGTGAATTTTAAATCTTAATAGTTGATTAATTAACTTTAATTTTAATTTTTTTAAACAAGTGTCTTTTAACATTATCTCTCTGCAG